CTCAGCCCACCAGGGGGCAGGGCTGGCTGGCATGTGGTGCTGGGGGATTGAACTGCGGTCCCTGTGCTTTGCCAAGCTTGTTCTAAGTAGGTGCTCTAGACCACTGAGCCATCTCACCAGCCCCTCAAGGTACATTTTCAAGGAAGCCCTCCCTGTGAGCTTCCCCATCAAAACCCTCACTGTGGGGCTGTGTCCTTTCTGGGTTCTCTCCCGGGCCTGGAGCCCCCTTCCCTACCCTCTTCTTTGGTGGCTTCCTCCTCCTCAGCCTTTCCGTCTGACTTCCGATGTCAGCTCCCACAGAATCTTTCCTGAGTGGCCCCTGGGTGTGGATGTAGCGCTGTTGATGTCCCCAGGGCCCAACAAAGGACCTGCTGCCCAACAGGGGGCTGTGATTGTTTGGTGACTGAGTAAAGGGACCTGTCCAAGTGGATCCATGAACGAGAGAGATGGCCATGGGGCGAGGGTCTCTGGCCCATTCCCGGCCCAACCTCAGGTCCCTTCCCCGCCTCCCAGGACCATGTGCTGGCTGGATCTGGCCACCCCCGCCCTTGGTGGCTGCCAGCCCTGAGAGGCATTTCCTGGAGCTCAGCACATTCCTGCCTCCCTGGTGGCTGGAGTGGGCAGGGGGCATTTCAGAGAGGAAGGGGGAGGCCCTAGCATTCTGGGATTCAGCCACCCTGCTCCTGGACCCTGAGCCCCACAGTAGGTCCTGACCCCTCTGTGTTGGATGAGTGTAGGCCCCAAGAGGGGTGACCTGGTCTCTGCGAGGGGCTGGGTACTCCCCATGGACCTGGCGTTACCATTGGGCAGGACAATGGGGCAGAAGCTGCTGACGAGCACTTCGGGGGTAATCCCCCTGGCCTCCCCCCAGCCTCAGCCCCAGGCCCCAGCTCAGAGAGCTGCAGGCAGCCAAGGCAGCGGCCAGTGGGTGGAAGGGGCATGTGGGGGTACCTGTGCTTCCTGTGCCGCCCCTCGGGGTCTGGTGAGTTGGGGCAGGCTTGGGGCTGAGCCTAGGGCCTGTGAATCAGGGTGAGGGCCCAAGTCCTTTGTTTGGGAGTTGGGCAGATCTGGGGTTAAATGAGAGCTACTATCATTAACCTGCTGTGTGACTTCAGGTGAGTCACTCACCCTCTCTGAGTTTCCCTGTCTGAAACGAAGGGACAGAAGAGTATAGCGGGTCTTTGGGATTCATCAGAAGCAGGGTGGGTGTCTAGCTGCACAACCTCCTGATTGCACAGCTGCAGACTGAGCCCCATTAGTCCCCTTTGATTCAGAGAAGAGGTCTGGGTCCTTAGTGTGGCTTTCAGCAGGGTAGCTGTCCCTCAGATAGCAACATCCCTAAGCAGAGATGTGGGCCTCCATCTGCCCAGTCTTTCCATAAATGAATTCAAGAGCCTGGGAAGAAGACTGGCCAGACCTCTAATTATTTGTGTGAATAACAGCCACACAGAATATTTTTAAGTAGCACTCTGTGCCAGTGCTGTTTTTAGCTTTTTTTTTTTTTTTTTTTTTTTTTGAGACAGGGCCTCGCTATGTAGTCCAGGATGGCTCTCAGATTTGAGGCAATCTTCCTGCCTCAGCCTCCCGAGTACTGAGATTACAAGCATGCACCACCATGTCTGGCTTCAGCCTATTTTAACTACTGTGTTCATTTTATTTTGAGGAAACAGGGATTGAACTCAGGCCCTTGCGCTAGCCAGGCAAGCGCTTATTCTACTGAGCTATCTCCCCAGCCCCTACTGTATTCATTTTAGAGATGAAGAAACAGCCCAGAGAGAGGCTGTAACTTGCCAAAGGTTACACAACCAAAAGTGAGGAGGGGGGAGTGGAAGGACCTGGGTCGAGGATCAGGAAATGCTTGGGGCAGGGTGCTGAGTCCCCAGATTGAGCAGCCACAGACCAGACTCACAACTCTCGGGGAGGTCTTGGCTAGGGCCACGGCCAGGCTGAGTCCCCAGTCCCCACCCCCTTTGGGATGGCTGTAGCTGGGAGAAGGGGATGTTTGTTTCCCCACCACCCACCCTCTGGTGACATCACCCCAAGGCAGCCAATGGCAGGGGTGTCCCCTTCCTACCCCTCCCCACTGCTTTTCCCCCCAGCCTAGGGCTGGGGCTGAGCAGAAGAACAGGAGCTCCGAGGTGTCTGGAGGCCCATCGGTAAGGAGATCAGCCGGCCATTCCCATCCCAGGCCAGCCTGAGATACCTTGGGAATGAGACCAGGGTCTGGGGAACTCTGGGTGTGTGTGGGGTGCCTGGGGCTCTGGAGGCAGGCAGGGTGGTGTGTGAGTGAAAGACATAGCCCTGGGAGCCACACCATGGGTCCAGGCCCCAGCTTCCCCTCCTTCTGACTGAGCAGCCCTGGGAAAGGTAATTCAACCTTCAAGCCTCTACTTCCCATCCCTACAATGGGCTGACAGAGACCATCTCTTGGGGCCGGTGTGAGAGTAACTGAACTGCTGCTTAGGAGGAGCTGGGCAGGCTGCCTGGTCTCTGGAATAAGGAACTAGCAAGGCAGTGCTGATCCTGTCAGTGGGGAGCTGGTCCCCCAACTGAATTTCGTCCTTTACCCAAAGTTCCCCTTTGGCTGGATGGAAGGTAGAGGGAGAACATTGGAAACAAAGACCAAATGTGGAGCTGTGTGAGCTATTTATTTTAATTGAACACTTATTCTATACTGAGAATATTTGATGTACCTGCTATTGTCTCACAAATCTTCAAAGCCAGTTTTATTGGTTCCATTTTACAGATGAAGAAACTGAGGGCTAATAGGGGAAGGATGTGGCCACAATGCACATACCCTAAGTAGTGATGGAGAAGCCAGAGACTAAACCTTCACACCTCTCTTGTGCCCGACTATGGCCTCTGGTGAGGTCCAGGTCTCCACACACCGAGTGGGCAGGGTCTCCAAGTCAAGTTGGTGGCAGCCACTGGGGAAAAGGGCAGGAGGGCAAAGCCTGCAGCTGATTCCTTGGTAGTCCCAGTGCAGTTGAAGGCCAGGGCCCAGGTGACAACCAAGCCACTCTGCATGGCATGAGTTGTACCGCTCAGGGCAGGGAGAGGGAGGATTTAATGAGCCAAGACAAAAAAGTCCTTGCATAGTAAATGCTCAAGAAACAGAGCCAATAGTTGGGTGTTGGGGTGCACTCTGTAATCCCAGCACTGGGGAGGCCAAAGCAAGAGGACCATTGCAAGTTCAAGGTTAGCCTGGGCTACAAAGTGAGCCCAAGGCCAGCGTGAGCTGCATAGCAAGACTCAGACTCAAAAAGAGAAGGAAAAAGAAAGAAAGAAAGGAAGGCAAGAAAGAATGGAAGGCAAGAAAGATAGAAATGGGAAGCCTGAAAATTCTGAAAGCTCAGATCTGTTCTCAGGCAGGGCCTCAGTAACCACTCAAGAAGTGAGCTGATACCTGGTTATAGTGGCACCTGCATGCCTGTATTACCAGCACTTTCAGAGATCAAAGGCAGGAGAATCGCAGGTCTGAGCCCATCTTTGCTCACACAGTCTCCCTGTGTAGTTTACTATGCACTCACTATGTAGCCCAGGCCGGCCTAGAACTTGAGACGATCTTCCTGCTTCAGCCTCCTGAGTGCTGAGAATACAGGTGTGTACCATTATGCCTGGCTCAAAATTAAAACTTTTAAAAAAGGGCTAGAGAAAAAAAAAAAAAGAAGAAAAGAACGAGAGAGGTAGCTTAGTGTGAAGGCTCTGGGTTCAGTCCCCAGTACAGAAAAGAAAAAGAAGAGCAGAGCTGCCCACTACCACCTGTAGGGCTGCTGTGCCTTATCCTGCACTCTCCAGGGACCCCACTGTCTCCCCCTGACACAAGCCAGTGACTCTGGAGAGTTGTGCCCCTCCTTCCTAATGCAATGGGTGGGTCTGGTAACACAGTGTCTGGGGGTAGCTTTCCTTCCGATCCCCCACTGGAGGAGGAGCTGGGTGTGTAGTTGAGGAAGGGCACTGCTGGGCTAAATATAACCTGGGCTGGGCAGCTGTCCGGGCAGGGATAAGGAAGGAGGGCACTCGTGCTCCTGCCTGCCCTGGACTTCCTGTGTCAGGCTCTGACTGTGACACTCACAGCCTGAGCTTGGAGTGGGGACTTGGGATCGAAGAGACCCTCCTCCCCAACAGCTACCATACCCTTGCCAAAGCCAGGCTGTCCCGCTCCCCAGCCTGGGATTCCCAGCTCGTGTTGTGCTATGGTCTTGGTCCTGCTGGGACATCTGTCTTAGCTTCTGTAGCTCATCAGCAAAATGGGGGTCCCGTGGGTCCTAGTCAGTGGGATCTGGCATCTCTGAAGTTTCATGTATAACACCCGCAGCTCCTCCCCCCAGCGCAGCTTTGGTCCCAGCAGTTCTGTGGCTTGGCCTTCGCAGGACTCACCACCACCCAGTGAATTTATTTATTTATTTTCGGCAGACCGGGGATTGAACTACAGGTTCTTGCACTTGCCAGGCAAGTGCATATCCTACTGAGCTATCTCTCCAGCCCCGTGAATACACCCAGTGAATTTAGGTACAGAGTAAAGGCGCAGGGCACCAATGGGGTGGGGGAAGTGTTGTTTTGCCTGCTCCTGGTTGTGTGACTCTAGGCAGGTCACTTCCCCTCCCCGAGCCTCAGTCTCCACCTCTGGCAACCAGGGTGATTCGGAGGCCTCCGAGTGCCAACATAAGACTTGGTTCAGAGGAAACATCCCGAACATAGTAGCCGGGCTGGGAGAGGTCTGCTCCCTGCTTGGAGGTGCTCAGAGGAGAGGCTGGAGGCGGACACAGACACTGAGACTCCTGGCAGACCCAGAGAGGGCCATCTTGGACACCATGGGGGACCCAGCAGTGGAGTATTTGCAGCTGATGCTGAGGGGGTCCCCATGTCCTCTGTACTGGCCAGTGGTGGGCTATGAAGGGCCATTGTGTGGCTGCGGGTGGGTGGGTGGGTGGGCAGGGGCGGAATGTGACCCGGCCCAGCAGACAAGCCATTGTGCAAGGGAATGTGCCGCGTGAGGCCTGACCTTTCCCTGTGCAACTGGGGTTGGCGGGTTGGCATTCCAGGTGGGGGCTGGGGGGAGAAGCGCAGAGTCAGGGGCCAGTTCAGGCACGGCCTCCATCCTCCCAGAGCAGCCTGGCAGGAGCCACCTGTAGACTGACTCTGCTTCTCTCGCCTGTGCTTCTGACCTGGGGCAAACTCTCCTGGCCTCTCTGAGGGACCAAGGTCTTCAGTGAAGTGGAAGGTGACTGTCTTAGCACAAAACCAGGCAAATAATAATCACTCAATAGCCATCAGTTATTCATATTGGTTGTTATTATTACTAGCCGTATGATGAGTTGGAGCTTTTTTGTGGAAGTTGTACTGGGGATTGAGCCCAGGGCCTTGGAACTGAGCTACATCCTCAGCCCATTTTGAGGCAGGGTCTCTTAAGTTGCTGGTCTTCAATTTGCAACCCTCTTGCCTCTGCCTCCCAGAGTGCTGGTACTACAGGCATGTGTGGTTGCACCCGGCAAAGGGCTGGAGCTCTGAGACGAATTCTAGTCCTGGCTCTGCCATGTCACCCCAGGGAAGGGACTGTCCTTCCCCCAGTTGCAGGTGTCTTCTCTGTAACAGGCTCAATAATAGCCCTGACCTCACAGGGGTATTCTGAGGTCCCCATGCAATGGTGTTGGAGGGGCGCTGGGCGCAAAGTCAGGACCACAGGATGTTCTCAGTTTTGATCACAGCAAGTACTAATACAGCACCTGCCACCGCCTGCCACTTTATACCTTTTAACTCATGCAATCCCGGAGGCAGCTGCATATTGCTCTCTGTCTTGGTGCCACCAGGAATGGGCCCTACTGCCTCTAGCACACTAGGCAAGCACTCATCCACCAAGCCACTCTCCCAGGACTACTTTCCCCACACTATAAAGAAAGACATGGAGGGGCAGGCAGGGGCGACATGGGGGCAGCTGTCATTACCTCCCAGATAATTTGGCCCCTCAGTTTGCCAAAGGCGTTGGCCCAGAGCTCCGCTTTTGAATAGGTCTAGGAGTCAGTTTGAACTTTCGACCACTGGTGGTCTAGCCATGTCCCTAGTTGTCTCATAGACCTTGTTTTTCCTATCTGTACTGGGGGAGCCAGGGAGCTGGCAGAGCCTGGGGAGGGCTGGACACTTGGGAAGCTAGTAGACGGTGTGGGTAAATACTGTGTGTGTTCTTCTTAGAGCCCCGGACCCAAGAGGCCCCGGGAGCCGGAAGTGACCCTCAGGTGAGTGCTGCCACATGTCCCTCTGATCATCCCTGGCCAGCCCAGAGCCTTATACCTGGTTTCTCTCCCCAGCAGGCAGCAAGACCTTGGCGAAAGGACACGAGCCCTCCAGACAGCTGTGTGACACCTCGGGCCGGGGTCCTGGTTGGAGAGAGCGCCTGTGCCCAGGCAGCGGTGAGCGGACAGCCGGGGGCACTTTTCTCTTCCTGATGCCTGTCCTGACCTCCCTGGGGAGGCTGGATGCCACCTCTGAGCCCCTCCTGGCCTCAAGCCTCCATCCCTGACCCCACAGGCTCAGAGGCAGCTGCTCCATGCAGAACTGAAGCTGGTCCTGCAGCAGAAGGGGGAGCGGAAGCAGGAGCCTGGGGCCCAGGAGACTCCCAGCAGAGCAATGGAGGCCAGAAGCCGGAGTGCCGAGGTGAGTACCCACCCCCTGACAATGGCAGCAAGGAGGCACTTCCTGGCTTCTCTGTGCCTCAGTGTTCCCATCTATGAGCTAGAAATGGTAATTGTGTGGGGGAAACATTTCAATGAACATATGTAAAGTGCTTAGGACTGTGCATGGCACAGACTGAAATTCAAAGCAGCTAACTCACTGGATCGTCAGTAGGAGTTACCACAGTGGTATACGCTTGTAATCCCAGTACTCGGGAAGCTCAGACAGGAGGATTACCAAGTTCAAGACCAGCCCCTCTGATCCCTACTTCTTCAGGGCACGGCCAATAATCACAGATTGTTTTCCAGTATGCCCAGGCTACCCAGCTTTACAGTGAAGAAATAGGCCCCCAAAGGGCAAAATGCTCCCCCAAGGACACACAGCACTGTGGATTCCTAGACAGATCTCAGGGCTCTCAGTTCCTCTACTGGGAATCCTCCATGTGAATCCCACAGCACACTGCTGGGCTGGGGCCAGTCTGCACCATTTACAGTAAATACCAGGAATGCCACTTCTGCTGGCACACACTTATGACCCACACACCCCCACCCAGCTCCCTCAGCCGTGGGTGTGACACAGGTCTTGGGGTTAGAGTCCACAATAGAGCACAGTCTCACACACATTCAAGGGGGCAGGGGCAAGTCCCACTCTCCATTCCCCCATTCCTCGTGGCTTAAGGGTCCTTTCCTGGAGTTACATCCTCAGCACCAACACCACGGCCTGTTTTCCTATTAACGCCCTCTAAGCTGGATGTGGCACATGCTTGCTTGTAGTTCCAACACTCTTGGATGCTGAGGCAGTAGGATCAAAAGTTAAAAGCCCAGCCTAGGCATTTTAATGACTTAGTGAAAGGCTTTCTCAAAATTTTTAAAAACAAAATTTACAAAATTTTTGGACGTGGTAGCATATGCCTGTTAATCCCAGCACTCAGGAGGCTTAAGGCAGGAGAATGGCTCAGATTCGACGCCACCCTAGGCTACATAGAGTTCAAGGCCAGATTGAATTACAGAGACTGTCTTACTCGGGCACATGCACACGCGCGCGCGCGCGCACACACACACACACACACACACCGATTAAAATTTTAAACATAGCTCTAAAGGGGGGGGGGGCGTGTTGGCATTCACTTGTAACCCCAGCGCTCGGGAGGCTGAGGCTGGAGGATCGTTACGAGTTCGAGACGAGCCTAGGCTAGGCTAGGTCAAGGCCAGTTTGAACTGCATAAGGATACCCTGTCTCAAAAACAAAACAAACAAAACAAAAACCAACCCATATCTCTGGATGTAGCTCAGCGCTAAGGCCGCAGGCCCAATCTTCAGTCTGGCTTGGGGCCGGGGGGACTGTTCTCCCCATAACTCAATCTTGCCTTTCGCTTATGACGCTCCCTAATTTGGAACCCACCCTTTCGGCTGTGCACTATGATCCAGCTCCGCACTTCTACTCCCTCCTTCCCCAAGTGACCGGGCCCCACGATTTGGCTCCGCCCCAGGCTCCCTAAATCCGTCCCCACCCAGTCCCGCCCCTCGCTACTGCGGCTTGACGGAGTGGCGCGCATCCCCAGCGAACTGTTTAACCACTGCTGGGGACCTAGAGAGCCGCCGCCCGCGCGCGTGCTTCAAGGGGAGAGGCCGGATGAGAGGCCCGGATGTCCTGTTTGGGTCGCACCGAGGACCTTGTGTCCCAAGGGCAGCCTGTGAAAGGGACACTTTTTTCTTTTTCTTTCTTTTTTTGTCTTTTTGAGACAGGGTCTCGCTATGCAGCTCAGGTTGGCCTTGAGCTCACTCTGTAGCCCAGGCTGGTTACGAACTCGCAATATCCTCTTGCCTCAGTCTCCCAAACGCTGGGATTACAGGCGTGCACCACCACGCCCGGCCTGAAAGGGGCACTTAAACGCCATGGAGGGCTCTGGGCGAAATCCAGTCCTGGCGCCCCTTGACAACCCCCTCGCCAACCTCCGCAGGAGCTGCGGCGAGCAGAGTTGGTGGAGATCATCGTGGAGACTGAGGCGCAGACCGGCGTCAGCGGAATCAACGTAGCCGGCGGCGGGAGAGAGGGGATTTTCGTGCGCGAGCTGCGTGAGGACTCACCTGCAGCCAGGAGCCTCAGCCTGCAGGAAGGTAGGCGGGGCCGGAGGATGGGCGGGTCACTTGTGGGCGGGGCCGACCCACGGGGGTGGAGTCAAGAATGTCCCCGAGGTCCTGAAGAAGCCTAAAACACTTCATGGTTGTGGGCGTGACCGACGATGGGGAAGTGAGGTTAAAGGCTGAGGTGAGGCTTTGTTTATTTATTTTTAAATTTTTTTTGGGGGGGAAGCACTTATTCCACTGAGCGATCTCCCGGGCCCCCAGGTGGGGCTTTATTGACTGTGGTTATTCAGAGCCTCCTCTGGAGTTTTCATTGTTTGGATTCGAATTAGTGCTTTCTGTCTGTGATCTTTTTGAGCCTCAATTTCTTCATCCTAGCAATGGGAATCACCAGTGCTGATCTCATGTGGTCGTTATGTAGATTAAGTGAGTCAGTATTTGAAAACAGCGCACGGCTAGTTAGCATACGGTAAACACTGTGTGAGTGCTAGTTAAGCGTGTTAGGGGACAGGTGAAAAGGTGTAAGTTAACAATTTGGAGGGGTTTGGGAGGGGAGTTTGGTAAGTAATGATGTTTTAGGAAATATGAATGAAGCTAACGTGATGTATTTATGCAACTACTGTTAAACACTTGTCTCAGACATTGAGGAGCTCGAATTATAGTAGTGAACAAAATAGCAGTCCTTGGATGTATGGAGCTTGCAATCTAGTGGCAAAAGAGATATTTAAACAAAATAAGTACAGTATCTTTTTTTTTTTTTAAGTACAATAGTTAGTAAATTAGAAGGCACATGTGCTTCCAGTGCCAGGAGCAAAGCTACATTTTTGTGTAGGATGAGGTAGGAAGAATGGAAAGGGCAAAGGAGGTAAGGGAACGAGCTATTCCAGAGAGCATTCCAAGCAGTGAGAACAGCTAGTGCAGAGCCCAAGAAAAGCAGTGGGTATGCAGGACAGCAAGTGAGGAAGAGTAAGGCGTGAGGTCAGAGAGGCAGGGGGAGGGGCAATGTTTCGAGGGTGCCATAAGCCATGAGTAAGCCTCTTTTGACTTTTATTTGTGTGTGTGTGTGTGTGTGTGTGTGTGTGTGCGTGTGTGTGGCCAGCTCAGCCCACCAGGGGGCGGGCGGGCTGGCATGTGGTGCTGGGGGATTGAACCGTGGTCCCGGTGCTTTGCTAAGCTTGTTCTAAGTAGGTGCTTTAGACCACTGAGCCATCTCACCAGCCCTTGACTTTTATTCTGCGGCGATCAAGAATTGGTTGTAGAGGCTGGGGATGTGGCTCCGTGGTGGAGTTCTTGCCTTGCATGCACAAGATTCAATTCCCCAAACCGCACAAAAAAAAACATTGATCATGGTGAACTGCTGCATGAACAGTAGACTGCAGGGGTCAGGCTTGGGAGCAGGGACATCTGCAAAGTGGCTTAGGCCGTGTTGGTGAAGAGAAGGATTCAGATTCAGGACAGACCATGAAGGAGGAAGCTTCAGGACGGCAGGTGGGGCATGATAGAGACAGAGGGCTAACAAGGCCTCCTCCAGGGCCTTGTGACCTGAGCATGGAGCTGCTAGTTCTAGAAGGGGCTGCTCTGAAGCTGATGCTCATTTGGGGAAAGAAGTCCAGGTGTGCAATGTGGCTGTCTCAAACGAGAGGTGTCTGTGGGGTGTGAAAGGGAGAGCTTGGAGGGGTGGCTGATGTGCTGTGCACCCTCTGTATCTGTCTGTGGGTTCTGCACGGGAGCAGCAACCAAAACTGAAAATATTCAGAGCAATGCACACTCAAACTAAACATGTCCAGACTTGTTTTCTTGCCCCTAAACAGTAGAGTGTAACAACTGTTTACAAAGTTCTCACATGATATTAACTGTTATGAGTAATCTAGAGAAAATTTAAAGTATATGGGAGGGGCTGGCACATAGCTCAGTGGCACAGCACCTGGCTGACAAGCTAGAGGTCCTGTGCTCAATCCCCAGGACCCATGAAAAATATAAAATAAAAATAAAGAACACAGGGCCCTGGAAAGGAAAAGATGATTATGAAAAAGGTAGAAGTTATTTAAAAATATAACAAAGTGTAGGGAAGGATGTGCATGGTTATATGCAAATACTGTGCTGTTTTCTCATGGGACTTGAGCACCTGCAGACTGATATAAGGACTCCCGGAACCCTTACTGAGGAATCCCTAATGAACCTAGAATGGAGGGGAGGGTGCTGGGCTGAACAAACCCTGGGCAGTAGATTTGAGTTCCTTCAACTACTCAATCCTGAAGAGCTTCCTGAGAATTCCAAAATGGTGAGTGTTTTTAGGGAAGAGTACAAGATCAAGGTCATTCTGCACAATTTTAGAAACTTGGTGAGAGCTTGTCTCAAAAAAAAAAAAAAAAGCGCCGGGGAGATAGCTCGGTGGCCTGAGCGCCTGCCTGGCAAGCACAAGGTTCAATCTCTGGTACTGTATGCTGCGCCAGCCTTGTGCTGTGCTGGCTACTAAAACCGGGTATATGGTGGCGAAAGCCTGTAATCCCAGCACTGGGAAGCATAAGACAGGAGGATCTCTATGAGTCCAAGCTACACAGTGAGATCCTGTACCCAAATAACTAAATAAGAAAAGATTTAAAAAAAAAAAAAGTGTTGGGAGCTGGTTTGGGAGGTAAGACAGGAAGACTGCCTGGAGTTTGAGGTCAGCTTGGGCTACATAGTAAGTTCAAGGCCAATCTGAGCTATATATAGAGGCCTTTCTCAACAAAAGAAAACACCCCTCAAAGAAAAAAAACAGACAAACAAAGGCTAGAGGATATAGTTTAGTGAGAAGGCCCTGGATTCAAGTCCCAGTACCAAAAAAGAAAAAGAAAAAGAATTCCAAGCCAGGTGTGATGGCACACTCCTGTAATCCCAGCACTTGGGAGGCTGAGGCAGGAGGATCATTGCAAAGTTCGAGACCAGCCTGGGCTACAAAGTGAGCTCAAGGCCAGCCTGAACTGCATAGTGAGATCCTGTCTCAAAAAAAGACCAAGAAAAAAGGAAAAATAAATTCCAGAGAGAATGTGGTACACACCGGAAGCCAAATGCCAAATGCAAGTGTGTGAAATCCGGCAGATGCTGAGTGGTCCAAGCAGATAAAGTCTGGTACTTGGCTACTGAATGTAGCTACCCAGGGTCATTGGCTAGCACCTGAAGAGGAGCAGTTCAGGTGTGTGCATGTGGTGCGGTGGCGGGGTAGGAAGTGTGATTGAAGAAGTGGAAATTATGCCAGTGCATCTTGCCTGCAAGGAGAACAGATAAAATGTGTCAGGAAATGGGGGGAATGTGGTCCTGAAAACCTTTCCAAAAAGAGAATAGCATGTTCGTCTGCAATGCAGATAATGTCCGGAGGGGGCGAAGGATGTCTTTGGGAAGGTGGTGGAAGGGAGACTAAACTCAAAGCTCATCCCTAGGATCCCGGAGGGAAGCGCCGCCAGGGTGATACAAAGACGGTGTGGGTGTGTGTGAAGTTGACTTCTGATTCTGTTCTCAGTGAAGGAAACAAAGTCAGTATCGACTGTGGGGGTGGGGTAGGGGAGTGAAAAGGCTGTTGGTATGGCCCGAGTGGCGTGGATTGGTTCTGTAGGCCCATACGGGGTCATTTTTGGGGGGAGGGGGGTGTCTTCTTAACCTGTGGAACTGCACGTCTGGACCTTTGCTCTGGGGTGGGCGGAGCCTCTGGCCCTCCCAGGAAGTGGGCGGGGCCGGGATGCCCACGCCCTGCCACCTTTGCTCGCCTGCAGGAGACCAGCTGCTGAGTGCTCGAGTATTCTTTGAGAACGTCAAGTACGAGGACGCGCTACGCCTGCTGCAATGCGCCGAGCCTTACAAGGTCTCCTTCTGCCTGAAGCGCACGGTGCCCACGGGGGACCTGGCGCTGCGGCCCGGTACTGTGGCCGGCTACGAGATGAAGGGCCCTCGGGCCAAGGTGGCCAAGCTGGTACGCGTGCTGAGCCCGGCCCCGGTCCCGGACTGCCCCAGCGATCGCGTCTCCGCGTCATGAGCCCCCTCCCCAATACATGGGTCAGCCTAGCCCTCTGTCTTGTCACTAACCTGAGCTAATGCCACTTTGTGTCCCTTGTTCACTACCCTAAACTCCTCCTCCCAAGAAGGGGATCCACCTACCCCAGACCTTGGCGCTCACCCATCTTGGAGAGGCAACCCCACCATCAGATCCAGACTCACTAGGGGTACTTGGAACCAGGAAGGCCAGGCCCTGTCCTGAGTGCTACTCAGTTACTGCTGAGAACCCAGGATAGTCTTCCTTCCCTCCCTGGGCCTCAGTTTCCACATCTCTACAATGAGAGTGCTGGAGGAATTTCTAGATGAAGACCTGGACATTTTGCATCCCGATCCCTAGACCCTTGTTGACTCCTCAGGAAATTCTAAATCAGTGTCTTTACCTCCCTGAGCTGAGATGCCAGGAAGAGGGGATGGTGTTTTTTGGACAAGGTACTCTACCCAACACATTCCCAGCCTGATACATGGCCTTGCAGGGCTCTTCCTGTCCGCTCATAGCCTCCTGCTATCCCACTGCCTCCTGCCTCTCTCCTCTCTCCCCAGAACATCCAGAGTCTGTCCCCTGTGAAGAAGAAGAAGATGGTGGTGGTGCCTGGGGCCCTGGGGGCCCCTGCAGACCTGGCCCCCATTGACGTCGAGTTCTCCTTTCCCAAGTTCTCCCGTCTGCGTCGGGGCCTCAAAGGCGAGGTGGTCAAGGGTCCTGGCCCAGCTGCCCCTGTTCACGGGCGCTTCCAGCTGCCTCGGTTGCGTGTGCGAGAAGTAGCTGAAGAGGCCCAGGCAGCAAGGCTGGCTGCTGCTGCTCCTCCCCCCAGGAAGGCCAAGGCAGAGACTGAGGTGGTGGCAGGACCTCGGTTTACAACCCCTAAGGTGGAGTTGGTTGGGCCCCAGCTGCCAGGTGCTGAGGTGGCTCTCCTTCAGGTCTCAGCCCCCAAGGTGGTTCCCTCTGTAGAGGTGGCCAGTGGTTTTGACCTCCATCTGCCAACCCTTGGGTTAGGAGCACCGGCAGTACCTGCCGCAGAGCCTCCGCCCATGGGGATCCAGGTCCCTCAAGTGGAGCTACCTACCTTGCCCTCACTGCCCACTCTGCCCACACTGCCTTGCCTGGAGACCCGGGAAGGGGCTGCTGTGGTGACAGTGCCCACCTTGGATGTAGCAGTGCCCACTGTGGGAGTGGACCTGGCCTTGCCAGGCAAGGAGATAGAGGCCCCAGAAGAGGTGCCTGAGGTGGCTCTGAAGATGCCCCGTCTCAGCTTCCCCCGCTTTGGGGCTCGAGGGAAGGAAGTTGCTGCAGCCAAAGTGACCAAGGGGAGCCCTGAGGCCAGGGTGAAGGGTCCCAAACTTCGAATGCCTACCTTTGGGCTTTCTCTCCTGGAACCCCGGTCCCCTGCCCCAGAGGTGGTTGCTGAGAGCAAGCTGAAGCTGCCCACCATCAAGATGCCCTCCTTCGGCATCGGAGCAGTGGGGCCTGAGGTCAAGGCCCCCAAAGGGCCTGAGGTGAAGCTCCCGAAGGTCCCCGAGGTCAAGCTTCCCAAAGTGCCAGAGGCAGCCCTTCCAGATGTGCAGCTCCCAGAGGTGCAGCTCCCCAAAGTGTCAGAGATGAAGCTCCCCAAAGTGCCTGAGATGTCTGTGCCAGAGGTGCGGCTCCCAGAGGTGCAGCTGCCCGAAGTCCCAGATGTGAAAGTCCCTGAGATGAAGTTCCCAAAGGTGCCCGAGATGGCAGTGCCTGATGTGCGCCTGCCGGAGGTGCAGCTGCCGACAGTTCCAGAGATGAAGCTCCCTGAGATGAAACTGCCTGAAGTGAAGCTCCCGAAGGTGCCTGAGATGGTCGTGCCTGATGTGCACCTGCCAGAGGTGCAGCTGCCCAAAGTCTGTGAGATGAAGCTCCCAAAGATGCCCGAGATGGCTGTGCCTGATGTTCGGCTGCCAGAGGTGCAGCTGCCCAAAGTCTCCGAGATGAAATTCCCTAAGGTCCCAGAGATGACTGTACCTGAGGTTCGGCTGCCAGAGGTGCAGCTGCCGAAGGTGTCAGAGATGAAGGTCCCGGATGTGAGACTCCCCGAAGTGAAGCTCCCAGAGATAAAACTCCCTAAAGTACCTGAGATGGCTGTGCCTGATGTGCACCTCCCAGAGGTGCAGCTGCCAAAAGTATCAGATATTCGACTGCCAGAAATACAAGTGCCAAAGGTCCCAGATGTGCATCTTCCCATGGTGCCAGAGGTGAAGCTGCCGACAGCTCCAGAAGTGCAGCTAAAAGCTGCTGGGGCACCGCAGGTAGAGGGGACAGAATTTGGCTTCAAGATGCCCAAGATGACCATGCCCAAGTTAGGAAGAGTAGGGTCACCGCCACAAGGCACGCCAGGCGAGGTGGGTGGTGAGGTCTTGGGGAAGTTAGTGACACTTCCTTGTCTGCAGCCAGCGGCAGGCGGCGAGGCTCATGTGGGCACCCCCTCTCTCACTCTGCCCTCTGTGGAGCTGGACTTGCCAGGGGCCCTCAGCCTGGATGGGCAGGTCCGCGCAGCCGAAGCAGGCAAGGTGGAGCAGCCAGCAGGTGTCAGGGGGGCAGCAGGTGCTGGGAAAGAGGCCTTCCGAGTGCCCTCAGTCGAGATCGTTACTCCACAGCTGCCCACAATAGAAGGTGAGGAAGGGCGGCCAGAGATGGTGGAGATGAAAGTCAAGCCCTCCTCCAAGTTCTCCCTGCCAAAGTTTGGACTCACGGGGCCAAAGGTTGCAAAGGCAGAGGCTGAGGGGGCTGGACGAGCTACCAAGCTGAAGGTGTCCAAGTTTGCCATCTCACTCCCCAAGGCTTGGGTGGGGACAGAAGCTGAGGCCAAAGGAGCAGGGGAGGCAGGCTTGCTGCCCGCCCTTGATCTGTCTATTCCACAGCTCAGCCTGGATGCCCATCTACCCTCGGGCAAGGCAGAGTCGGTAGGGCCTGAAGTTAAGCTCAAGGGGCCAAAGTTTGCTCTGCCCAAGTTTGGGGTCCGAGGCCGGGACACAGAAGCAGGAGAACTAGCACCGGGGGCAGCTGAGTTTGAGGGCAAGGGCTGGGGCTGGGATGGGAAAGTGAGGATGCCTAAGCTGAAGATGCCCTCTTTTGGGCTGGCCCGAGGGAAGGAAGCAGAAGTCCAGAGTGGGCGTGTCAGCCCTGTAGAAAAGCTAGAGTCCATAGCTGGGCAGCTGAAGATCCCTGAGGTAGAGTTAGTTACCATGGCAGGCCAGGGGGAAGCAGGTGTGGAGGGTGCAATGGCCACCAGCACAGTGCAGCTCTCGGGCAGGCAAACCACAGAGGGCCATGATGGGGTGCTGAAGGTGTCCCCACTGGGCATTTCTCTGCCCCAGGTGGAGCTGACCAGCTTTGGGGGGACAGGCACCCTGGGGCAGCGGGCTGAGAGTACAGCGCCTTCTGCAGAGGGCACTACCAGCTACAGGGTCCAGGTGCCTCAGGTGAGCCTGTCTTTGCCTGGAAGCCAAACACCAGGTGGTGAGCTCCTGGTGGGTGAAGGCGTCTTCAAGATGCCCACGGTGACAGTGCCCCAACTTGAGCTGGATGTGGGGCTGAGCCAAGAGGCACAAGCAGATGTGGCTGCAGGTGAGGGTGGGCTGAGGCTGAAGTTACCCACCCTGGGGGCCCGGGCTGGGGCAGAGAGGGCAGAGGACCATTCCCCTGGGGCTGAGCGCACCTTCCATCTCTCCCTGCCAGACGTGGAGCTCTCACCACCCGCTGTGGGCAGCCACTCTGAATACCAGGTGGCAGAGGGCAATGGGGAGGGCACGCACAAGCTCAAGGTGCGGCTGCCGAAGTTTGGCTTGGTGCGGGCCAAAGAAGGGACTGAGGAAGGTGAGAAGGCCAAGAGCCCAAAGCTCAGGCTGCCCCGAGTGGGCTTTGGCCAGAATGACTCAGTCCCCAGAGAAGGTTCTCCCAGCCCCGAGGAGGAAGAAGAGGAGGAAGAGGGCACTGGGGAAGGGGCATCAGGTCGCCGGGGCCGAGTCAGGGTCCGCTTGCCCCGTGTGGGCCTGGTGGCCCCTTCTAAAGCCTCTCGAGGACAGGGAGATGAGGGAGCCCCTAAATCTCCTGTTGGGGAGAAATCACCCAAATTCCGCTTTCCCAGGGTGTCCTTAAGCCCCAAGGCCCGGAGTGGGGACCAAGAAGAAGGCGGCTTTAGAGTTCGGCTGCCCAGTGTGGGGTTTTCAGAAACAGGGGCTCCAGGCCCTACTAGGATAGATGGGGCCCAGGCTGCAGCCGTGTGAAGCCCTGGACAGGTGGAAACTCTTCTGCTGACCTCCCCAACCCTGCCCCCATTTTGTGTGTGAGATTACAAGCACTAACTCTCAGAGGGCTGGGAAGTGGGTGGCTGACCAGGGTAGGGCAGGAGGCCTGCCTTTCTCATTGGCAGGGGCATCTGTACCTTGCCATGCCATGTGAATAAATAATTCAGAGGTAGCCGCATGTCCATTTTTTTTTTTTTTTTTGCGCGCGCGCACGTGTGTGTGTGTATTGTGTGTGTGTGGGGGGGAGGGTTCAGAGAAAGACATCCTTGAAGAGGAGTTTCTAGGTATCACCTGAGCCTGAACTGGGTGGGATTGGGGGTGATATGAAGGAGTAACAGATTCCTGGTTTGAAAAGAGGGCAGGGTGGATGGTCTCGGGGTAGACCTTGGTGAAAGGGGCCTGTCCTAGCCCTTCAAATTCCCAGAAGTCTTTTAGGGGGGCCTGAAAGATCCCCAGTGCAGCCCAGCACTGGACTTCTCTCCTGTGAGCTCTGCTGTCCAGGAGATCTTTCCAGGATGACTGCACCCCCACCTCCAGCCTCTGCCAGGGCTCCTGTGTATTCCTGCCTTTCCTTTCCTGTCTGGCAGGTTCCTCAGCTCTGTCTATCCTGCCCCACCTACGAAGGCCCTTCCTGTTTCCTTTCTCAGAGCCTTAGGTCAGGAGCTGTAGGCTGCCTCTTAGGATTCTGTCCCAAGGGGCTCAGCACCTGTTGATTTTGAGCCTTGGCCTCTGGGGCATCACAGTTCATCTCCTCCTCATCTTTAAGACCCTTCGAAGGCTCCTGCATTCCCTCATGTCTTTTTTTTTTTTTTTTTTTAGGGAAGGGTCTACAGGGTGTTTAGGGTCTCACTACTAGATTGGACTCTTAGTGATCCTCTTGTTTACAGCCTCCCAAGAGCTGGGATTACAGGCACACGCCACCACGCCCAGTCTCTCCCTCATATCTTTCTGAGACGAGAGAAGATGCCCTGCCTGCCACACATGATGGCATAAGCCTGTAATCTCAGCACTTGAGGGGCTGAAGCAGGAGGATCACCATGAGTTCAAGGCCAGCCTGAACTCCATAGTGAGACCATGTCTCATAAAAACCAAAAATGAAAAATGAAAATAAAGATACCCTGTCCAAAGACCACCTTTTGGAAAAGGGCCTTCCCAAAGAACAGAAGGACCTGAGTGCTGAGAGGACCAGAGCCTGGATCGCCCACACCTCCTAGGGTGTTATCCCTCCCCGTCTCCCTGATGTGTATGGAAACTTATTAAGAGGGAAAGGGGCAAATAGGAAGGAGCTGTGGGACTGGAGCCTCAGCTTCCCTCATCTGTTCTTCTCTGATTCCCTATCTCTGAAGCTATTTGTTGTTTTTGTTTTTTTGGTGGAACCAGGGATTGAACTCAGGCTACTGAGCTATCTCCCCAGAACCCACCTCCCCCCTTTTTAAAAAAATATCCTGTCCAGTTCCATCTTCCTGCAATGCCCCGCCTGGACTTGGGCCCATCCACTTTCCCAGCCTTGCCCTGCTGACTCAGGGGACAAGAGAGCACAGATCCCCCTTACTCCAGCCGGCCCCCTACTGAGGCCACGGCCCCAACCCACACCTTTCTGGGTCCCCAGCACGCAGAATCTGTCTATGCTCACGGCACCCAGCCCTGCTGGCCCCAGCATGCACCGCTTCCTCTGCACTTCGCAGGGGCCTCTGTGGCTCAGTCTATGGTTTGCTCTGTTACCCTTGTCCTCACTTCGCAGGGAAACTCTCATCTTCCTGACCCTGGCTCTTTTTTTCCTGCTCAGTGAATCCTCAGGAATCCTCCTGGGCTCGTGGGTACTCCACACCCTCCCTGGGCTGAGTCACCTGCCTTTTGTGACTTCCAGGACTCCGCTGTGCCAGACCCTCCCCTGTGGGCCCTGCCAGGCCAGCGGGCTCTGCCTCCTCCTCCAATGTGTTCAAGGCACTGGGAGGCGTGGCAGAGGGCGGTCATGGCTCCATGCTGGACTCCAGAGCCAGGCACAAGCTCAAAGCTTAGCCAGGGTACCCAGCTTTTTGACCTTAGGGCTTTTTGTTTTGCTTTTTTCAGTGCTGGGAGTGGAGCCCCGTATCACTCACAAGCTAGGGAAGCTCTTTACCACCAAGCTGCATTTCGGGCCCCCCCATTTTTGACCATGCTAGGGCTTATAGTGAACCCATGCTTCATTTTTGGTTGCTCCTAGACCATTTTATAGTTTTCCTTTTCGGGGGGTTACTGGGAGTCAAACTCAGGACCTCTTGCTTGCTGGCAGGTGCTGTGCCACTGAGCTAAAACACTGTCTCCCATTTTTAATTTTTGAGACAGGATTTCACAAAGTTACTCAGACTGGCTTCCCACTTACTATCCTTCTGCTTCAGCCCCCTGAGTAGCTGGGTTACAGATATATATGCTCAGTAATCTTAGGCATTTTATTTTTAATTAGTTAATTATTTTTGAGATAAGGTCTCACTGTGTAGTTCAAACTGCCCGTGAACTCACTATGTAGCGTAGGCTAGACTTGAACTCATGTGGATCCTCCTCCCCTAGCCTCCCAAGTGCTGGGATGAAGAACGAGACAGCCATGTGGCTATGTGGCTCTTAGCGTCTTCCTCTCCCTGAGGCCTGCGAGTCCCATGGCCATTCCTCCTGGGCTTAAAATGTCCCATCCAGCCCTGCCCTCATCCTTCCCCAACTTGGTCACCTAGCCTGCTCTGACTTTCTTCCTTTGGGGCCTCCTCCTCCACTCTTTGTCCCTCCAGTTTACCTTTCCTCACATAGATGCTTTCTGACATCTGACCCTGCCCTTCATGGCTCTAACCCTTGCTGTGGCTCCCTGGTGCCTTCAGAACAAAGTCCAAGCTCCTTAGTTTGCATTCAGGGCCTTTTATAACCTGGATCATCTATCTACCCACCACATCTACCCCATGGCAGTTGTAGCTATAGGTGGGAAGGGCATTTTCTGCGTGCGCACACACACACACACACACACACACACACACACACACATCCACCCACACGCAGCACTTTCCCCTCCTCACTCGGTCTGTAGGTGTGTCCCTGTTCCCATACTGTCCCCTATGAGAGTCCCTCTCAGCACACTCTTCCCTCTGCTGCCTTCCCAGGTTCCACCACAGGGTGGGGGAGGGGCCATGCCTGGCACCCCACCCCCCATTCCATCTAGGGCTCAGGTCTCCAACAACAGAACCAGAGCCGCTCAGCGCTACTGGAACCCATTCAGGGTAGACTGGGGCCCCCCCGTCCCAAGCCAGAAGGGCTTTGGGAGAGGGGTGTAGCCCTTGGCAGACTCACCTTGTGGCCAAGGGGGGGTAAGAGGTGCCAGGGAGGTGGAGGCCAAGCTCTCAGGAGAGGCCAGAGGGAGTGTGGTTCTCCTCCCCCCACTGGGGGTCCTTGGGCCTGGTGGCAGAGTGCCCTCGGCAACAGAGCCTGTGGGTTGAGGGTTGGAGCAGGTCAGCATCTGGTGGCCAGGGCACCATGGCCACCATCCAGTCGGAGACGGACTGCTACGACATCATCGAGGTGTTGGGCAAGGGCACCTTCGGGGAGGTGGCTAAGGGCTGGCGGCGTAGCACCGGTGAGATGGTGGCCATCAAGATCCTGAAGAATGACGCGTACCGCAGCCGCATCATCAAGAACGAGCTGAAGCTGCTGCGCTGCATGCGGGGCCTGGACCCCGAGGAGGCCCACGTCATCCGCTTCCTTGAGTTTTTCCATGATGCCCTCAAGTTCTACCTGGTCTTCGAGCTGCTGGAGCAAAACCTCTTCGAGTTCCAGAAGGAGAACAACTTTGCACCCCTCCCTGCCCGCCACATCCGCACGGTCACCCTGCAGGTGCTCAGGGCCCTGGCTCGGCTCAAGGAGCTGGCTATCATCCACGCCGACCTCAAGCCAGAGAACATCATGCTGGTGGACCAGACCCGCTGCCCCTTCCGGGTCAAGGTGAGGGCGCCGCCCAGGCCCCAATACTCTTCCATCTCTTGGCCATGGGGTCTACCCTACCACACCACCCTCTCCCATCTGCTCCTCCAGACCTGAGGGCTCCCATTGGCCCCTCCAGGCCCAACATCCCTCTATCCATTTCATTTTTTTGTTTGTCTTTTTGAGACAGGGTCTCACTATGCAGTTCAGGCTGGCCTTGAGCTCACTTTGTAGCCCGGGCTGGTCTGGAACTCCCACAATCCTCCTGCCTCAGCCTCCTACGGGCTGAGATTGCAGGTGTGAGCCACCGTACCCAACCCCTCTATCCATTTCTATTCTCAGCTCCTTGGCTCAGTCCTGTCCTGAGGGCTGGCATTCTGCAAGAGACACAGAGTCACAAAGGAGGGAGAGGTGACACAGGGAAGGGGAGAAGATAAAGCCAGAAGAGAAGGTTGTGGGCTATGGATCAGGTGGGGGTGGTGATGAGTGAAACTTTAGACACGTTCCTGAGGAAGGAGGGTATGGACTTGTGCAGGAAAAGCATCAGGCAGAAGGAACGGCCAGCACAAAGGCCCTGAGGTGGGGTGCACCTGCGTGTGTGCGTGCGTGCGTGTGTGTGTGTATGTGTGTGTAACAGGCAGGGGGTCCGTGCATAAAACCATAGGTCCATGATTGAGGCACTGAGGGAGGAAATGAAATCAGGAAGTAATGGGGGATGGGCTAGTGCCACCTGCCTATAATCCTAACATTCGGAAGGCTGAGGCAGGAGAACTGCTTCGAGTCTGAGACCAACCTGAGCTACATAGTGAGGTCAAGGGCAGGCTGAACTACATAGCAAAAGCCTGTCTCAAAAAAAAAAAGGAGGTGATGGGGTGGGTCTGTGTAGGGCTTTGCAAGGCACAGCAGGGGCTTTGGTGGGTTTTTTTTTTTTTTTTTTAATGTATTTGGTACAGGGTCTCACTCTGTCACTATGTAGCTCAGACTTGTGGTGATCCTCCTGTCTCAGCCTCCCCAGTGCTGGGATTACAGGTGTAATCTCTGGTGGCTCAGCACTGGGGGATGAGGTCAGCACAGCATGTGGTGCTGGGGAGCAAAAGGACTTTGGTTTTATTCTGTGGGAGTCGGAGCCACACATGGATGCTGAGCAGAGGAATGACAAGGTCTGGCTGGCTCAGGAGTCCACAGGCTGTTTCCCACAGTGAGAAGGAAGCAGATGGCAGGGGCTGGCCAGGACAGTAGGACACAGAGATGACAGAGTCTGGACACTCGGCAGAGCTGTGGGTGGGCTCTGGGTAGGTTGTGGAGCTAGAGTCCACAGGATTAGTTGGTAGCCAGATGCTAAGTGGGGGAGAGGCAGGGAGGGCTTGAGCGTTTGAGAGCCTGTTGGGTAAGCGGTGGCAAGCATGGCCCCAGTAGTATCACTGTCACCTCGCCCAGCCACATTCACCAGAGGCTTCTCTGTGCCTGGGCCCGTGCTCGGCACACTGGGCACCTTTGCTCCCCACCTCTGCCATCCTAGCTCTGACCCTTCTGTCCACTTATGGCCTTGTCACTGGTGATGGCCAGGAGCCCCGAGCCCTCGGACAGTAGGCCTTGGCCTGGGCACCTCCCAGCCCCCAGTTGGAGTCAGTGCTAAAGGAAGTTATGGGAGACACAGACAGGAAAGGACAGACCCTTCTGGCCTGAGACGTGGAAGGACAGAGCCGCAGGGGAGGAGGGACTTCCATATTCCCAGCAAGGGACACACACACACTCCCAGCACTTAGCCAGTGCTGGCGCGCCGATCCTGCTCAGGATGGACAGGCAGTCCCATGCCCAGCGTCACTCAGCCCTCAGGGTCTGGGCCCCAGTGGGCGGGGCTCAGAATTAAAATGAATAACCACGGCACTTACTGCCTTCTGCAAAGAGAAGTCAAGGAGCAGGACTTGGGTAAGGCCCTGGTTAAATTCCCATTACCACAAAGAAAAAGACAAAGAATGACTGAATGAAAAACCCAAGGAACTCAGAGAGAGAATCCGAGGCCTTTACCAAAATTAAGTCTGACCAAACATGGTGGCCACCCCCCCACCCCAGCTATAAGCATTGTTCTAAACCTACAGAGATATAGCTTTGAACAGACCAGACAAAATCCCTGTCCTACTGGGGAGAAAAATGATGATTAAAAAAGAAAGAAAAAAATGCTGTGTGTAAAATAGTGTTAAGGGGCCGGGGAGATAGCTCAGTGGAATAAGTGCTTCCCTAGCAAGTGCAGGGGTCTGAGTTCAATCCCTGGTTCTGCAAAAAATAAATAAATAAATAAATAAAATAGTGTTAAAAGCAATAGTGAAAATCAGAGCTAGAAAAGGACAGGAAAGGTGGGAGCTGCCATTTTTTGAGAGCACAGCCAGGAAGGCATCGCTGAGGTGTCAGGTGAGTGAAGGCCTCAAGGACGAGATGGAGGGGAGCCAGGTGGATGCTCGTGGGAAGAGTGTTCCAGGCAGAGGGAACAGCCTGCAGGTGTGTGAGGAATCTCGAGGACGCCCCAGTGGTGAGAGGAGGGTGTGGGGGAGACATGAGGAGGAGACAGAGTGAGCAGATTCTGAGCTTGTTGGAAAATGGAGTCTAGGGGCCCGGGAAATGGCTCAGTAGAATAAGCGCTTCCCTGGCAAGCGCAAGGACCTGAGTTCAATCCCCGGTTCTGCCCCCTCCCCCAAATAAAGAAAAAAGAAAATGGAGGCCAACAGGGTGTGGTGTTGCTACCTGGAATCCCAGCACATTGGGAGGCTAAGGCAGGAGGGCAGCAAGTTTGAGCTCAGCCTTATTTATTTATTTATTTATTTATTTTTGCAGAACTGGGGATTGAACTCAGGCCCTTGCACTTGCCAGGGAAGCACTTATTCTACTGAACCATCTCCCCGGCCTCAGCCTGACAAATTTGGGAAGACTGTTTCAACCCCCTCAAGCCCCCCATGAGAACAAAAAAAGGGGCAGGAGATTGAGCTTGGTGCAAAGGCCCCGAGTTCAGTCCCTGAGAAAAGGAACAAAGAAGGTGGATCCAAATAGGATTAGCTGTGAAGCAAGCTGCTGGGAGACAGAAAGGGAAAGGATGTGGCCTTGCGAGGCACAAGACTAGTGCAGGGAGTCAGAGACACAGGGAGCCACACACAGCCCAGCCTAGAGATCCGGGCAGGGACACACAGAGGAGATGAGGAGGCGAGGCCCACAGGTAGAGCCAAATGACAGATACAGAGGAGCCAGGAGGCCCAAGTCAGCTGTCCCTGCCTCACCACTACCATCTGCCCTGGTCACCATCTCTGGCTCTCTACAGGTGATCGACTTCGGCTCAGCCAGCATTTTCAGCGAGGTGCGCTATGTGAAAGAACCATACATCCAGTCCCGCTTCTACCGGGCCCCCGAGATTCTTCTGGGGCTGCCCTTCTGCGAGAAGGTGGATGTGTGGTCCCTGGGCTGCGTCATGGCCGAGCTGCACCTGGGCTGGCCCCTCTACCCAGGCAACAGCGAGTACGACCAGGTGCGCTACATCTGTGAGACCCAGGGCCTGCCCAAGCCCCACCTGCTGCATGCTGCCCGTAAGGCCCACCACTTCTTCAAGCGGAACCCCCACGCTGAGGCCACCAACCCCTGGCAGCTCAAGTCTTCAGCTGACTACCTGGCCGAGACCAAGGTAAGGGGGGGAGGAGGGAGGGCAGTCAGGGTGGGGATGCTACATCAACAACAATCTGGTTAGACCACAGGGAGCATCAGAAGCTTGGGGTCAGTTATGAGGGCTGTCTGGGTGAAAGCAGAGGTGTGACTGGAAATCTGAGGGTCAGCTCTGGGGGGCTGCTGAAGCAAGACACATCTAGTCTAGACTGCAGGGAGGTGGACCAGTGAGATAGCTCAGCGGACTAAGCACTTGCTTAGGCAAGTTCAAGGACTGCAGTTCGAACCCTGGCACCACATGCTACGCCAGGCCTGCCCCCAGGGCAGGATGAGCCAGCCACAGAGTTCAGGTGTAATGGTGCAGGCCTGTAATCCCAGGACTGGGGAGGCTGAAAACAGGAGGATCACTATGAGTCCGAACTGTGGAGTGAGACCCTGTAACAACCAAATACATTTATATGTAATAAAATACATTTTTTAAAAAAAAGTGCAGGGAGGGGCTGTGAGATAGCTCAGTGGACTAAGCGCTTGCTTAGGTAAGTGCAAGGGCCAGGGTTTCGATCCCTGGCACCACATGCTACGCTGGCCCCATCCCCTGGGTGGGCTGAGCTGGCAATGGAGTCTGGGCATGGTGTCACATGCCTGTAATCCCAGCACTAGGGAGGCTGAAAACAGGAGGATCACCATGAGTTCGAGCTACATAGTGAGACCCTGCACACACACAAAAATTTTTAAATTTAAAAAAAAAATGCAGGGAGGACTGGAAGTTTGAGAGTCAGAGGTAAAGGGCTGCTGTAGCAGGGGTGATCTGGCTTATAGCACAAGCATACTGTGAGATTAGGGCAGCTTCTTGTGCAGCAGGAGGGATCTGAGTCAGACCACAGAGGACATGGGTATGGGACGGCGGAAAGTGAGAGTGACAACAGAAAGGGGGATGTGGGTGGAAGTCTAGGACAGCCTACTGCTGCCTCTAAGATTGCAGTCATCAGGCCTATACATCGGGAGAACCTGGGTTAGACAGCAGTGGGGACCAGAAGTTTGGGGCCATCTGTGGAAACGCTCACAGCAGGAAGGGTCTGGGTGACCCAAGGTGGGACGTCAAATGTGTGCAGTAAGAAGGGCCTGGGCTTGACCTCTGGGGGGCCAGGAGGGCTGGGATAAGGTGTGGAGGCTACCACAGCAAGAAGGAGCTGCATTTGACTTCAGGGAAGACTGAAGGTTTAGGGCAGCCTCCTTGCTAGCTCTGGTAGGGCCTGGCCCCACACATGAAGCCCTGGGGTGAGTTGTGGGGCTTGGGTCAGTGAGGGCTCTGGGTCAGAGAATAGGATGACCAAACCACACAGCCAGGAACCCTTCCTGCAGCAGCAGGAAAGCTCTGGACTAGACAGGAGAGGTCTAGTGCGAGGGATCAGGTGTGGCCCGCTAGCAGCAGGCCAGCTCCATGTCGGATCATCAGCAGAACTGCAAGTGTGTGTGTGTGTGTGGGGGGGTTCTGTGTGGGTCCCAGAGCAGAGGCATGTGGAGCCCAGGACCTGGACACATCTCCACCTGGTGCCCACCTGTGTCCCTCTAGGTGCGTCCACTGGAGCGCCGAAAGTACACGCTCAAGTCGTTGGACCAGATTGAGACGGTAAACTGCGGCGGGGCTGCAGGGCGGCTGAGCTTCCCAGACCGAGAGGTGCTGGCAGAGCTTGCCGACCTCAAGAGCATGGTGGAGCTGATCAAGCGCATGCTGACGTGGGAGTCACACGAGCGCATCAGCCCCAGCGCAGCCCTGCGCCACCCCTTCGTGACCATGCAGCAGCTGCGCACCACCCATGAGGGCACCCACTACTACCAGCTGTCGTTGCGGGGCTGCCGCCAGTCACTGCAGGTGGAGGGCAAGCCACCCCTGACTGCTGCAGCCGGCGCTGAAGACGGGCCACCCTACTACCGTCTAGCTGAGGAAGAGGACACTGCGTTGGGCAGGGGTGGCGTGGCAAATGGAGGATCATTCTTCCGTGAAGAGAAGGCACCAGGCATGCAAAGGGCCATTGACCAGCTGGACGATCTGAGCCTTCAGGAGGCCAGGTGTGGGCTGTGGGGTGAGGCCCATGCTGACCAGGTCTCTGACATGCTGGCCCCACTCAAGGCCACCACCACTGGATGCCGCATCCCTAACTCAGGCCCAGAGCCCATCCTGGCCTTCTACGGTAGCCGCCTGCCAGGTCGCCACAAGGCCCGCAAGCTGCCTTCGGGCTCCAAGTCCAACTCCAACTTCAGTAACCTCATTCGGCTGAGCCAGGCCTCACCAGAGGACGACAGACCCTGCAGGGGCAGCGGCTGGGAAGAAGGAGAATGCCAGGGCACCTCTGCCGAGCCACCTGCCATCCCGCAATGGGAGGGCGATGGGCCCAGCATCAAGGATGCAGCCATGGAGGAGGAGGTAAACCAACTGGGTGGGCAGGGGTGGGCCAGGGCCTCCCTCAGAGCTTGCTACAGGGCAGGGGAAGATAACTGGGGCTTGACCCACCCATTTTTATGTGTGCAGCTGGTGCGGGGTCCAAACACATTAACCTACATTCAGGACAGAGGGTTTGGTGAACACTGACCCATCCTCACTGGGTGATCAGGCCCAGCACACAACCTTCAGGACAACCCTGGGCTAACCTGCCTTTGCCTGAACCCTGAGGGGGTGCCCATTCCTACTCTGTCTTAGGAGGACATGCACCGGAGGGCCAGCATGAACCTCCCTGTTGATGCTCCTCTTCTTCTTCCCACAGAGGTCAGCCCCTGAGCTCTTCAACCCCAGCTGCTGTTCCGGAGAATGGCTGAGCGAGACTGACTGGAGCATGGAGGGCATCAGGGGCCTTCGGGTTCAGGGAGTCCCCGCCCACCACCTCCACCCGCACACTTCACCCCGGGGTACCAGCTTTCTGCAGCACGTCGGTGGGCACCACTGATGGTGGCCACACCCCTACCCGTGGCTGAAGGCTGCACTAGTTGGGCTGGCATCCCTTATCCTGAACCGTTCCTCAGGGCCGTCCCCCAAACCCATAAATTATTCTTACAGAAAGATAGTTATCCAGAAGGCTCCCTACCCCCAGCACATGCCCACATCTACCCCCAGGAAACAGGAGGCCCCTGAGGTCTGGCCCATAGCCCCCCTGGCCAGGGTCCGCAGAAACAGGGCTGTACCCGCTGGCCCGAGCTCGCCCTGGTCCTGCTACTTCTGCCTATTTCAATAAAGAACTGTTCAGCAGTCCTGTCTCTTGCCTGGCTTCACTATCTGAGGCCTGGTTTGACCTAGAGGATGGGCACCAGGCTGGCGCCCAGGGCCTGGCCCTGCCATGCTGTACCCAGCTGGTTGCTGGCTCAGACTAGGGGCTGGGCTATGTGACACTGGGAGGGAGACGCTGTGCTTGCCACATAAGCCCACCCCCTACATATCTTAGTGCTTGCAAATCTGCCGCCAGATCATCTGAGTTTGCCAAAGCCTGTGGCCTCGCTGATCAGTGGTCTCCTCTTCACGTTACAGGCTTGGCACGCACTTGCACATGCCCGGGGCCACTAAGTGTGAATTCACCCGGCAGATACAAATGCACTTTAGGGGCTCACTCCAGGGTTCAGACATGCCGCCCACCCTTGAGCCATGGCCACGGTCCAATCCAAGCTGGCCACCTAGAGCATGCGGAGTGTGGCGCACATGCTACCCCATGCTGGTGACACACATGCTCAGCCTGGCCCAGCCCATGTGGTTGCATACTGCATGCTTAGCGCACAGCAAACCGCACTGGTCACGTGCCAAGAGTTCAGTGCCACCCGACGCCCATCTTGTATCACTCAGGCACAGGTACAGACAATTATTTACTTCTTATTATAATCTTGGGCCCTCTTTGCCCTGGAAAGGGGGGTGGGCCAGGAGTCCAGGCCCAGCATGCACCCCCACTTCTTTGGGGGCTGATCCCTCCCCCAGCTCTGCTTGGTCCCAGGGCCATAGCATCAGGCCAGTGGGGTAGAGGTAGAGGTGGGAGCGCAGGGGAGAGCCTGTAGAGCCACAGTGGGGCAGACAGAAGCGGGAGCATGGGGACAGGGGTCAGGACCCTATCTGAGTCCATGGGGGCCTCCTAGGCCTTGGCCTGTCCACTGGATTGAGCCTCAGAGCAGCCGACAGGCATTGCCCACACTGTCGGCAGAGGCATCAAGGTCGTGGCTATATGGAGAGTCCCAGTCCCTCTGGAAAACCGCCTCCAGCTGGCTGCGCAGGCCACCACGACCGTTCTGCGTCACCAGCAGTGAGGTACCTGCCGTCTCAGTGAAGTAGCTGCCAGACCAGTTGGAGGTCCCTAGGGAGGAGGGGACAGAGAATGGCGGCCCCATGGGGTTGGCCAGGCCCTGGTGCCTGGACCCTCCCTGCTTCTGTCCCTGGGAACACTTACCAATGTAGGCGGCACGTTCAGTCACCATGTACTTGTTGTGGTTGACACGAGCATATGGGATTCGGGCCTGAGCTTCATCCGCAGGGACCACAAAGAGTTTCTGCCAAAGAGAGGGGGGGATAATGAGCGTAAAATGCAGATGGGGGGCGCAACCAGCTCTGCAGGGCTGGGGGTCCTCAGTACATGCTGACTGGGACAAAGACTTTGTCACCCCCACAGCAAACTTGCTGCCCTTGAGAATGGTTTCTGGCTCCTGTTCATCTCTGAAGTCTCTTCTTAGATGTCCCCCTTTCCAGGAAGGCTTCCTTGACCCCTCAGGCTAGGACATGTCCTTCCTTTGTGTCTCCCTGTCACATCCCCAGTCTCTGCCTGTGTCTCTCTGTCCTGGTCACTCTTCCCCATCATGGCAGGACTCACTGGGGATCTTGCTGGAATGACAAAGGCACTTGACATAGGCTGTGTTCCCAGCACTGCTTACCACCTGGATGTCAGTATGGGTGTGGTTGTCACGCAGGGCAGCCAGGGAGAGCAGGAAGGAGCGCATAGATGGCTCAGAGTGTCCCCAGCAGCTGATCAGCAGGCGTACCTTGACGCCCCGCTCATAGGCCGCCCGTCGCAGCCCATCATCGATGGAGGGCCAGAACCTGGGGGTGAGGGGTGAAGTGGAGCCAGTACGCAGGATGAGGGCAGCTGTATTCCCAGGCTTTTTGCCTTCAGGTTCGGGGAACCAAGTTTGGCTCCTGTGTTAACTTCTTTTTTTTTTTTTTTGCGGAACGGGGGATTGAACTCAGATCCTTGCGCTTGCCAGTCAAGCGCTTATCCTACTGAGCCATCTCCCCGGCCCTGTGTTAACTTCTGAGAGCAACTAATCCTCAGAAGCACCCCACTATGGCCCCAGACCCCTCATTTCCTGTTCCTGGTTCCCATCCTGCCCTGCAAAACCCAGTCCTCTATTTGTTTGTGGTACTGGGGACTAAACACAAGGCCTCCCCACTGAGCTATAGCCCTAGCCCTTTACTTTTTATTTTGAGACAGGTCTCAGGTGGCCAGGCTGGTCTCCAGCTTGTGATTCTCTGGTGGGTGCTGCCTCCAACCTTTGCCATTCATCTACTGACCAGACACTGCCTTCTTCGATCACCCCACCCAATCATCCTCCTTCTTACCTCTGATCACAAATCCAACTCTGCTTTCCTAGCCCTGTAGTCCTAGTCCTCTCTGCCTTCTCAAACTCCACACCCTCTACTTTAGGTCTCCAGCTGCTCCTTTCTGGCTCCAAACCCCAATATCATCATTCTTTTCTTTGTTACCTCCAGCCTCCCCATCTCCCCCATCATGGTTGTTTCTTCTTCCTCCAACACCCAGAGCTGCCTCCCTCTCACCGCTCCACGGCGTCCTGTGTCTGTCCCTTGTTTTGGCCTCCCTGGCTGTTCTCAGAGCACTGTCACCCCCTCTCTGTGCAGGGACTCCCTGTCTGTGCACCCCACAGTACCTGCGAGGGTGGGAGAACTCCATGGTGGGCAGGTAGTTCATGACCGCGATGTAGATGAAGCTCCGGGCGCTGTCCACCACATTGAGCAAAGCCTTCAGGTCTGGGGTTCGACCACTGGGACAGAGTGGTGGGGGTGCACTCTGGAAGGGGAGAAGGAGTCAAGATGAGACCCGGCCAGGGGGATGGGAGACAGCAGACATGTATGACAGCTCACAAGAGCCAGCCTCCATGAAGGGGAGGGATAATCCACTTTGTAGGTGAGGATACAGGTTCAGAGAGGGTCAGGGACTCGCTGAAGGCCACACTGCTATTTCTTTCTTTCTTTTTTTTTTTTTTTTTTTAAATTTATGTATTTGGTACAGGGTCTCACTATGCAGCTTGGAATCACAGTGATCCTCCTGTTTTCAGCTTCCCCAGTGCTGGGATTACAGGCATGCGCCACTGTACCTGGACTCTTGGTTCAGCATGCCCCATGGGGCGGGGGCAGGGCTGGTGTGGCATGCAGGACCAGGGATTGAAACTTGGTGCCTGCGCTTGCCAGAGCAGGTGCTTAGTCTGCTGAACTATCTCGCTGGCCCTCAGACTGCTGATAAATAGAGCCAGGAATTGAACCAGGCTGATTACAGGATTTTTTTTTTTTTTCTTTTAGTAATGAATGGCAGCCAGGCTGGGAGGTCAATGCCTCAGAATGCATAGAGACAAAGACACTAGAGCTAGCCACTATTTATTGGGTGAATACCATAAGCAGAGGGATTACTGAATGACTCAGAGGGTGGTCATGACCTTATGCTAATGAAGATTTGTGTGTGTGTGTGTGTGTGTGTGTGTGTGTGTGTGTGTGTAACAAGGGATTGAACTCAGGCCCTTGCATTTGCCAGGAAAGTGCTTATTCCACTGAGCCATCTTCCCCCAACTCCAAGATCTTTACGTTGATGAGGGCAGTGGGGAGAGTTGGCTGTTTAAGGAGTTTGTCCTTAACCTAAGGTAAAACCCTATTTTTATTACTACTGTGTTCCCAAGGATGATTCCAGAATTTATGCTGACTGGTTACTGACCCAGCAGCAAGAATATCATTTGGAAACTCGCTAGAAGTACAAGCCTTTTATGCCTCACTGTGCAGATTTTTTTTTTGAATATATATATTTGGTTGTTACAGGGTCTTACTATGCAGCTCGGACTCTGTGATCCTCCTGCTTTTTAGCCTCCCGAGCACTGGGATTACATACATGCGCCACTACGGCCGGCACAGCGCACCCAGGGGCGGGGCTGGCATGGCATGTGGTGCTAAGGATCAAACCACGGTCCCTGCGATTGCCTAAACTTGCCTAAGCAGGTACTTTAGTCCACGCAGCTATTGCTGGCTCCTTTTTTTTCTTTTTCTTTTTGAGACAGGGTTTCACTGTACAGTTCAGGCTGGCCTCGAGCTCACTTTGTAGTCCAGCCTGGTCTCCAACTGGCAACAATCCTCCTGCCTCAACCTCCCATGTGCCAAGTATTTTAAAGCAGAATGTTGGGGTGGAGCCCAGGTTTGTTTATTTTTATATATTTTTTGATACCAGAAATAGAATTCAGGACCTCACACTTGCCAGGCAGGCACTGTGCCACTGAGCTAAATCCCCAGCCTGTTCATTTATGTTTGAGACAGGGTCTCTCCTTATGTAGGTCAGGCTGGCCTTGAAATCACTACTTACCCCAGGCAGGCCTCGGTTTCGTGGGGATCTTCCTGGGTCAGCCTCCCAAATGCTAGGACTACAGGTGTGTCCAAACATTTATTTTGTTATTTTGTAGTTTTAGAGACTGAACAGATGGCATTTGCACTAAGCTATATCCTTAGCCCTTTTCTAATATTTTATTTTGAGGGCTGGGGAGATAGCTCAGTGGCTTAAGTGCTTGCCTGGTAAGCACAAGGTCCTGAGTTTGAGCCCCAGTACAAAAAAAA